GTTTTGTTTCTTTGCTTCCCCGTTGATGCTAGTCAGCGATGCCGCCGCACCGGTTCTGCACGTCGTTCTTGTTTTTTGCTTCCCCGTTGATGCTAGTCAGCGATGCCGCCGCACCGGTTCTGCACGTCGTTTTTTGCTTCTCCGTTGATACTAGCCAACGATGCCGCCGCACCGGTTCTGCACGTCGTTTTGGTTCTTTGCTTTCCCGTTGATGCTAGTCAGCGATGCCGCCGCACCGGTTCTGCATGTTGTTTTTGTTCTTTGCTTCCCCGTTGATACTAGCCAACGATGCCGCCGCACCGGTTCTGCATGTTGTTTTTGTTTTTTGCTTCCCCGTTGATGCTAGTCAGCGATGCCGCCGCACCGGTTCTGCACGTCGTTTTTTGCTTCTCCGTTGATGCTAGTCAGCGATGCCGCCGCACCGGTTCTGCACGTCGTTCTTGTTTTTGCTTCCCCGTTGATACTAGCCAACGATGCCGCCGCACCGGTTCTGCACGTCGTTTTTTGCTTCCCCGTTGATGCTAGTCAGCGATGCCGCCGCACCGGTTCTGCACGTCGTTCTTGTTTTTTGTTGGTATCACAGGCGTGATACCCGATCGGGTCATTTGGTGAAGCAGTAGTTCAATTCTGGTTGTATCTAGTTGCTCCCGGAGTAAAAAAAAGGGAGGAAGTTCGTGATACACGAACTGCCTTGGATTTAACCGCGAGAGCACTGTGGAATCCCTATAATGCTATTGGCCAAGAATAGCCGGCAATTTCCTAGCATTCCTGGCTGGGGCTGGAAGTGGCCGGGGCCACTTCTGCGCCACATACTCCTTGGGTTTCCGACGAGTTGTTCCAACACTGGCAACTTTCTATTTTTGCCACGACCGTTGGAAACGCACGATTGCGTCTCGATATCTAAGGACTGTAACAACGTCGAAAAGCGATGTGAACAGGTAATTCGCAAAGGTTGCACAGATCGCGGAAGGCGGAGGAACCGTTTCTGCGGGCGCCGCGCGGCGGCGCTGGCCGTCAATTGAGGCCACGGGTAACCCATCCTTCCATCCTTATTTTCACCATGTTGTTGCTGATGAAGTTCTCCAGGGCCTTGTTCGGGTTGCCTTTCGTTAGTCCGTCTGCCGGGTTATCCTTCCCATCGATCCAGCGGATCTCGTAGAGCTCGCGGCGCTCGTACGATTGCCTCAACGCCATGATATCGATCATCAACCGTTTTTCCTTTGTAGTGCCGAGTTTCACCAGACACTCGTAGAGGGAGTATGAGTCGGTACATACTATTGTCGGGATTGGCGGAAGACCAAGGCGGTTGGTAATCTGCTTGATCGTTGAGGAGGTGGCGTAGGCCATATCGACGCCGGCAACCATACCGTAAACTTCCGACGCGAGCACGCTTCGTGTCACCCTTTTGCTCTTCGTGGAGCTGAAGTGGACAATATTGCCTTTAAGCGTGAATTCGTCGTCGTTGCTCTCGTCGTTCGCGAGGATAATAACGAAGCCGATCTGCGACGTGAAGTCGTTATTGTTTGCGAATGAGCCGTCGACGAAAACATAGAGCTTTGCGGTTGCTAGGTCCAATGGTATGAAGGTTAGTCCTCTCTGGAGATTATCGATTTGCCACGTGAGCCTTCGATTGAGATCATTGATCTCCCGGGCTGTTGGCTCTTTGTGCTGCGCAGCGGCTGATAAGTCGAAGCAGGCCTCCGGTTGGCAGATTGAAGCGATGTATGCACCACGTGCGCGTTGCTGGATGTAATCTTGCTGGGCGCTCGGCGAAGCAACGTCCACAAGGCGCAACTTATTGCCTTGGCCCTTCTGGCGAAGTATAAGGTTGCCATTATTCTCCAGGGTGAGAATGCCGCCGTTGAACGTGAGAGGTTCTTCGACGGTAAGCGTTTGCTTCGGCTTCGCGGCGAAAGCGGCTCTTGCGAGCTGTTCGTCTTCCAGCTGGGCGAAGGCCTCGTTGGATAGGCCAAGTGTATCGTCAGTTTGCATTCCGACGATGGCGAAGTTTGGGTTCTCGGCTGACGTAACAAGTAGGCAAGGATCGTAAGTTGAAGTAACCATCTGGAGATTCTCTCTGTGATGGCGATGATAGGTTGCCCACCAATGGGTGCCTGCCTCGGCAATTCCGTATAGCGGTTTGACGACAGTCATAATCATGTTTTGTGGGTAGTTGTGTCGTATTTGTGTCGGAAGATGAGCGAGGATAGTGCGGCTCAAATTAGTAGTTGACTGGACATAAGCTTGGATTATATCGCGAATCCATAGAGATTTCCCGTCGGCTAGCAGCGACGGGGCGATAGCTAGAATCAACCGTTGGCTTGATCGTTGGATCGTAGGCGACTGTGTAAGAATGGTCTTTTTTCCGTTGTCTGCGTATCCTTGGATCACAAGCCTAGATTTCTCATAAGGTTGCTCTGTGTTCTTGCCTTTCACTTCGTTCACAATTCTTGATTCAAAGATTCGTGTGTGACCGTGCTTCTTTTCGTCGAAGGGTGTGAATTCAAATACTCCACGGCCGATGAGACTGTCAATCTCCTTTTGCGTTGATTCTTCGAAGGGGGCGCCGGGGGCCGTTATCTTGCCTTCCTTGCGTAGTTGAACGGCCAGCACGGCGTCGGATTGTTCCTTTGCGGTGAGGAAGGCTGTGGACTTCGCCACGAAAGGGGCGGTTGACGCATCATATTCTTCACGTATGTAGTTGAGCAGATTCGTAGAGGGAATGAGGTTTCTGTGCGGGCGGCCTCTCAGGCGGCGTTGCGTAGGCGCAGGGGGGTTCTTGCGCGGGCGACCTGGTCCTCGGCGCTGTTCTGTAACGAGCGGGTTCTTGCGAGGACGACCTGGTCGTCGGCGCGGCGGAGGTGCCTCGGGTTCTTCGTCTTCGCCAACGACGATCTCATCGGGTGTTTCTCCTTCTTCGCCGTTAGAAGTGATTGCTGGGTCATCCTCCTCACGCGTGGGGGATCCCGCGGCCGGTTGTCCAGCAACGTCGTCAGGGTCAGTGTGGAAGGGTTTGACTGCTGTTGAGCGGAAGACTTTTGGGCCTCGCGGGGTGTCAATGGTGCAGTCTTCGCCGTCGACGGCAATAAGTCGGAAGGGGCCTTGCCAGCCGTCTTTCTCGCGCCATACGCGAACCTCGGACTGTAGTGGGAGTCTTATAGTCAAGGAAGTGTCTGGGCCGTTCCTCATTGCGAGGGCATCGTCAACCTTACGTTTCGCGTGGATTTCTCGTACTTCCTTGGTTGCTTTCCTTATTGCTTCTGCGCGTTGGATGATGTCTGGCGATGGCTGAGAATCGTCGGTCATGCGCGGGTAGGCGCCGTAAACGAGGAGGGTTGGCACGAGGCCGTTAGGTCCTGCGGTGTCGTTTATCGCTTTCAGGGCCATTTGCAGGGCCAGCTTTGGGCTGGCGGAAGGATCTTCCTTGCGAATGATATCGTAGATGCGGCGGAGGGTCGTGTGATAGCGTTCTACTTTTCCCACGCTGTTGTGGGCCTCGATGGGAACCTCTTTGATAGAGATGGACATCGCTTTGGCCGATTGCCTGAACTCCGTGGATCGGAAATTAGTTCCTGCGTCGGTGACTATCCAGTCAGGGGGTCCTTGGTATACATCAATCCAGCACATCCTAAGGGCCTCCCAGGTGCTCTTTGCAGTGATATCAGGTAAGAAGCGGCCTGCGTTATATGCTGTTGCTGTATCGACGACGTGAAGGACGGGTCGATTTCCCTCGAGATACATGATGTCGACGATGATCTCGTAGTTGAAGTTGTAGTCGTCACGCAGGGTAAACTTGAAGCGGTGAGGGCTCCTTGCGTGGAGTTGGCAGCGACGGCAAATCTTCGTCAACTGCTCAATTGCCGCAAGTTCGATCTCATGGCCTGACCGTCGGAGGACTTCGTATAGTCGTCGGACAGACGGGTGGCCAAATCGGCGGTGTAGTCGCCGTAATTCAACATCTGTAAGGTGGCTCCAGGCAATAGTTTCTTCTTTCTGGTCCTCGAGAAGCATCCAAGCGTGACCCCATTTCCGTATAACAGGTACTTTTATATTGCCTTGCTTGAGATAGTTCTTTAGATTATCAAACTTGATCCTGAAGCAGTCCATGTCGCGCAGGCAGAGGAGGAAAGGGGTGTCGCATGGCATGATGTGGAATGAGATAGGGCCAAAGGGGGTAGGAATCTTCGTAGATCCTAGTGAGGCAATGGCTCTCCCTTCGCCAAATCGTATCTTCGCGCTCCCAGCTGTTGAAGTATCTAGGGTGACAGTTGGAAGTCGGCGTTGCAGGGCAAGGAACTGAGGCTGCCCTGCGCTGGAAATCTCTGCAGCACCAGTATCTGGCATTACCCCATGGAAGACTCGGTCAGAATACCTTCCTTCGGCTGCAAACGATGCACATAATCCCTTGAGATATGTATATAGGTCCGCTGATGACGCGAATTCGTCTGCGTGTGGTATGTTTTGGAATTCGTTGTCACCTGTCAATGCGTGGCGGATTGATCTTTCAGCCAGTATCTCGGTGATTGCGCGGCCATTAATGGTAGTGCCGGCTGTGAAGAAGGACGTAAAGAAGTGTTCTTTCTCTTTGGGTTCGTTGTCTTCTTCGTCGCTGCTGCTGCTGTCTGCATCTTGGTGGTACTGGTCGTTATGGTTGTTGCTGTCAGCGGGTTCGTACTCCTCATATCCTTCATACCAAGCAAGGTACTGGTGATATCCAGCTGAGGAGCGGTCTTGCGTGTCTGGGTTGTTTTTGTAGCGGCTATATGCCTGGCGACGTTCGTCATCGCTGTGTTTGTTTGACCAACAACCGGATTTGCCGCAGACATAGCACCGCTTGTTCGGCGCCGAACTGGGGCCGTTGCGGCGGCTACCGTTGCCGTAGCGGGAGGGTCTGCGGTTCTGCGGACCGTTGCGGCCATAGCGGGACTCTTTTCCGTGGCCGTTGTATCGTCGGTCAGTCCAGTACTGGTCGTGCGGTTCGGCGACGAATTGACGGGCCTTCAGCTGTAGGGCTGTTCCGACGGCTGCGCGGAGGTTGCCGCATACGCCCTCAAAGGTGGGAGCCGGGGCGAAGATCGCCAATTGGCATTCTTCCACTTCGCGGCAGGCGTTCAGCAACTGGTCGCGTAGCAAGTCGGGCGATTCGCGTTGTGCGCGTGGTAGGGCTTGATGTATTCTGACAAGCCTCTCGATGAGAATCTCCAGGGCTTCTAGCCTGTTTTTGCCGGGATTTTCCTGGAGGATTCGCGGGAGGGTAGTAGTACGCCATTCTGACAAATATAACTGCTGCGTTTCGTGTGTTTCAAACCTGGCTTGGATGGCTACTCCACTGGAGTGGAAGTCCATCGGTTTGGTCGGATCACAGAGGTTATCATAGTAGTATTGCAGTGCACGCCCTTTCAGCATGATGTCTAGGGCGTCATTCCATTGGCTCTGGGCAATCCCTACTTTGTTGCACTTGTCGCGGAAGATCATGAGTTTCCGCTCGAAGACTTCGTACTTCTCACCGCCATACTTGAAGTCATCGCTATAGAGCTTCGTCAGGTCGGTTAGTTGCCTTGCTGTGAGACTGTTGCCCACAACATATTCGTTCGGTTGGGAAGGCTCTTGTCGTTGTTGCTGTTTGTGCCGCGGTTGTGGCGATGGATGGTAGTTGGTCGTGGAGGTAGGCGACAGTTGACGTATGGGAAGGGGGTTTCTTGCCGGTGTTCCTATGCGTCGTGATGAGGCTCGGATGGCCTCAATCTCTGCACGGATATCCTCAATGCTTTCTGGCTCGTACGTGATATCCTCAGCGAAGTCAGGAATGCTGTTGTAGTTCTTTTTGAACTGTGGCCTGGTCTTTGCCTTCTTGATCTCTCCTTCAGTCCACACGTGGAACTCCTCTTGAGTAACAAGCTGGGCAAGAGCAGTCGAGATCAGAGTATTGTCCATGGGAAAGAAAATGCCATGCGAGTACAGCGTATCCCTCATCCATTGTGCTGCGTTCTTAATGGTGTTGTCGAAGTAATCGGCGTTCCAGCTTTCAAAGTCGTTTTGGAACTCATCAAACAGTCTGCGGCCATAGAGGCCTCGGTCTTGGTAACTTTCGGCAAGGAAGACGATGTATGTGGAATTGTATACTGGGGAGTTCGTCATTCCAGGTTCGAAGTTAATCCAGTCGCCCCATGAGTCCTCATCAAGAAGGCCAGTGAACTTTCTAGGGATTGGGACCTGGAATTTCCGGCTTTTCGGTTCGCTAGAAGTGTCCGAACGCGATGATCCTCTCACCTGGATGTCCTCAGCGGGGTCACCAGAGTCAGACATCTTGTGGGTTTTGTAGTCGATTCGTCCGATGGAGGGTAGTTATTGTGGTCGCGGGCGGCAGAGCTGCGTTCCTTTGTGCGGGCTTTGCGTGGCGGCCGTTGTGAACGGGTAGGGTTGTCGGGTTGAAGATGGGTAGGTTGCTCGTTGATGAGCGTGTCGGAATACGAGATGGGACTAACAGAACGGGAGTTCACGTTGAATCCATAGTCCGCTTCGGTGGAAGTTCTTCGCCGTCGAACGACGAAAGAGTTCTCCGTAGCGGTATGAAGGTTCCGTCGCGAGTAACGGTCGGCGGAGATCTTCGTACGCGGTGGTGCGCGGCGACGGGCTGCCCTAAGCGCTTCCCGTGGCTTGGAGGTTATCGTGAAGAAACGAAGCTGCCCGAAGCGCTTCTTCGTAACCGCGATAGCCTCGTTAGCACAACTCCTTCGTAAGGGACGGCTCGCCAATGCAAGCGCGTGTAACGATATCGTTGTCTCTTCTGTGGAAGCCTTGCTGATCTGCGGTAAGTGGTAACTGTGAGGTTAACCACTGATCAGTGTTGGTATCACAGGCGTGATACCCGATCGGGTCATTTGGTGAAGCAGTAGTTCAATTCTGGTTGTATCTAGTTGCTCCCGGAGTAAAAAAAAGGGAGGAAGTTCGTGATACACGAACTGCCTTGGATTTAACCGCGAGAGCACTGTGGAATCCCTATAATGCTATTGGCCAAGAATAGCCGGCAATTTCCTAGCATTCCTGGCTGGGGCTGGAAGTGGCCGGGGCCACTTCTGCGCCACATACTCCTTGGGTTTCCGACGAGTTGTTCCAACATTTTTGCTTCCCCGTTGATACTAGCCAACGATGCCGCCGCACCGGTTCTGCACGTCGTTTTTGTTTTTTGCTTTCCCGTTGATGCTAGTCAGCGATGCCGCCGCACCGGTTCTGCACGTCGTTTTTTGCTTCCCCGTTGATACTAGCCAACGATGCCGCCGCACCGGTTCTGCACGTCGTTTTTGTTCTTTGCTTTCCCGTTGATGCTAGTCAGCGATGCCACCATGTGATGGGGGCGGCGAAATTCGGACTCTGCAACCTCCACGTGGTGCCGCCTGGGAACCTATCTTTGATCAAGGTAGAGCCAGTGCAGAGACGTGACAATGTGTGAGTGCGAGTGCTGGTGAGCGCTACGCACAACGTTTTGCAGGTGTGGAAGTGTAGGATCGGACTTGGAGTGAGGGATTTTTGGAGGAGTTGGACAAAATTTCTACACACGCGCTATCATCTACCAAAATACCAGCAAAACCGGCGCGACAACGAATCGAGAGACAGAACACGAACTACAACAACGAAGCTGCCCATTTTCGATCGAGCTAGGCAAAAACCACCCGAGACTGCTTTCTAGGGCATGAACAGAGCACCCTGGCACCTCCTAGATCCAGGGGACACCTCCCGACAGATCGATAACGACGCTGGTTCGTCATGGGACAAACAGGAGCTACGCCGGCTAGATTACCTTCCAGTTAGCCCAGGGCAAGGCAAGGCATGGCCGGCCTATAAAACCCAGCTGCAAGACTGAAAACACGGTCGGAGATGGAGGCAGGCAAACCGTAGTCTGGCCCAGAGAATCATGCCCCGGACAACCAGTAGGCTGTTATAGACAGATTCGAGCAGAAGGCTTTTCTGGTCCTTCTCTCGCTGAAAGGCCCGAGTCACAATACAAGAAAGATTCGAGTTTAGTCCCGTAAAACCAGCCAAGCTGTTTTGCAGATGATCGATGTTCAATGTATGATATGTGAGCGTGCTTCCATTGCTTGGGGGCCTTTGGAGCCGACAACATAAAGTAGAGGCGCTGAACAAAGTTTTCCGGTGGGTTCCATCGCTGGATGATGATCTTGCGCAGGGACATGGGAGATGGCGGGGACGTGGGAAATGACAGGTCCGAGATGTGTGTCATGCCAGGAGAAGCGTGGCTGTGACGCGTGGGGGTGGGTGTCTGCCCGGTCTCGTTGAAGTTGCAGGAGCTCTCTTACATGGAGAATAGATCAAAGTTAGCTACCTCAACCCAACATTTGTGGTCGGGCTTGGGCCCAACCGGCCAATGCGCAGGCTTTAAATGCCTGGCAGTGGCGGTGGTCGCTCACATACCATACTTCACGAAAAAAATATTGCGTTACCGAAAACACCATGCCAACTGTGCGATGGAGTTATTCGGCCTGGGCATTGCACTGCGTTCTTTCTTCTCTTCAGGCCGCTCACGGGGTTTCTCGTCAACAGGCTCCGCATAGTGTTTGTCGCCAGTGAAGATCAACCGTGTATGCCGATTTGTGGGGCTTGGTGTCAAGCAAGACGGCTCCTAGCGCCACAAACGGGGTAGAGCCACAACTACTTTTTGCTCGCCTTCACTGTCTTCGAGCGTTCTGGCTTTGTGGATCGCCCGAAATCAAGGAATGCCACAACTGGCAGTCTGGGAAAACACACCGCGGCCGTTTCTAGCGTTGGACATTGAGAAGCTGCTTTTGAAAGAAGCCATACTTACTCCGAGCGGCACGCCCCACTGACTGGTCACTTGCAATGGCCGACTACGTTCTGGATGACTGGTGTTGTGTTTGGACCCGATTCTGACTCTCGGTAGGAGCTACTTTCAGCCACGCAGCGAGGACCTTGCTTGCTCTGCCGCGTACCCTACCCGTGAGGCTCATATCTGGCTCGCAGCTTGTTTTCCCGCAAGACAAGATGCAGAGGCGCTTCCATAGCAATCGAACAGTCACGTTCGGGCCACCTATGCACGTATGCGGATCTCCACGTTGGATACCATACATACATCCGAAGCAGTATTGGATCGGCCTTTTACAGAAAGCTGAAGCTTGGAGCAAATGTGCACAGCTTCCTCTTCGGAAAGACTCGCCGAGTCTCCAATCAGGCTGCGTACAGTCTCGTGGTTCGAGAAAATGACTGTGCATGCCGACTGGTGCTGTATTCGGGGTTGAAGCTGGTGGCCGGAGCCGCAAATAGACGTTGTCTAGTATAGCAACCTCCTTGCCGGCCTGTTCGTACTGTCATTGCTCCAAATCAGGATCGTGGGTGATCGCAGCGAGTACTGGAGATTCGAGCAGCAGAGTATGGCTGTTTCCGGCTGTGAAAAGATTGACAGACGGTGTGTGTAGAAGAGGAAGCTACATCTCCCAGCCAAAGAACTCATCACCCCCACAGACATGCATGCACCAGTCTCCGTCATGTCTATGCCTACGATCATCAAGCTTCGTTGTATGCACTGTCGCAAGCTGGCCGAGCTCACCTCGACTGACGACCTCGAAGACGCGAACATGATCCGGATTGGATACAACTTGTTTTATTGCTTCGATTGCGCCAAAGCAACAGGGTACACGGAGGTGCACGGCCGCCGGAGCACATCGGCTTAGGAACATGCGGCTGCCGCCCCCGCATCGGTCCTGTCTTCGACGTCTGAGAATGACACAACAAGGTTGATAGAAACCACAAAAATTATCCAATAAATACACCCTACTCTATAGTCGCTGTCTAGTGATGATGCTACGTTCTACGGGCGATATGGTGCAATGATTTTTCTTGGGAAGGACTGGCCAACGCGTTCTGCCGCCTCACGGCACGCACTAGGACGGCTTCCATGGAAAAGGAAAAAAGAAAAAGTAAACACATGGTAGGGGGCCTAGCTGATCATCATCCCACTGCATCATGACAAAATCCATTCCACTGCAAAAACTAGACGATTCGCCCGGCACACCATGCGTCAGATTTCGGCGCCTTCCAATAAGCTACGATGTACTTCTTCATCTGGCTTGGTGAGCGATCCGGTGTAGCGGTAGCCGTTCCTGTCTGGTTGCGAGCCGCATGCGCAGAGACACTTGTCTCAAAAACCGTTGCACTATCCGCGCTTGGTTTCCGGCGGAGCCAGTACGCGCCACTTGTGCAGTCGGGGCTTCCGCATGTTTTGCCATCACCACTTGCCAATGAGAGACGTTCTTGGATCGCCCGGTCTGCACTTTGTTTCCAGCCTCCTCCATCTCGAAGACGTCCCGCCTACCGACGTCAAACATGCGAATGGACGTATCATGTCCACCCACACCATCAGCGACGGCGCCATCGGGCATTTCGTGGTTTTCAAAAGCCCGGCTCGCACCCCGGACGGCCCAATCGTTTCCCCCCATATCCCTGTTACGCTGCGTCTCATTGTCGCTGTCTCTTGTTGCTGTGAGAGTACCGCCATGACCGGCTTTCGGATAGCCGGCCGAAGCAGCGCTGTTCCTGTCGGCAGCGATGTAGTAAGAGACGTCTGCGGCGTCGATCTCGACGCCGCCGCCTCCTTGTGTGGCCTGTGCGGGCTGATGTCGCATCTGGGCCCGCTGTGGGTCGCGTCTTCGACTCGTGCTGTGCAAGCCGTTCAGAAGTTCGGCCAACTAGTTCAGAGTCGCATCAGCTTTTGCTACCTCCGAGGGAGGATGGGTGGGTTTCCGCTGGAGCTTACAAATCCGTTCACGTCCGGAATGCTTTGGCCTTCGGGGACGTGTATGGCCCCGTCCAGACGTCCATGTGTTGGGTTGAAGTGGACGACAGCCGAAAACACACGGGCCTCTTCGCCTAACTGAACCGCTTTCCTTTTGGCGCTGTCACCAGATTTTCGGACCTTGTCCTTGGCCCTCTTGTCGTAGGTGTATATCGTTTTTTCCGAAGACGCACCGGCCATGGTTTCGTTCATCTGAAATCGTCTCACAGCGAATGTGTCTATCGCGCTTCTCTGGAGCTTTAAACCGACTCATTATCCTACAACACCATCGCGTTGCTCCCGGATGTGGCGCTAATCTAGTATAAAGTCATTTCCAGTTTCGTCACATCCAAAAGTTGACCCTGTGTGTTTTTGCAGCACCTCCAGCATCTCCAGCGGATGATGTTTTTCGCGTGACGGTCTGGACCTGCTTCCATTTCCCCGTCTTCTCTCGCTTCGCGTAAGGTGGCATTATGACCTAAAGCCGGATCTTACTCCTGGTGGGCGTGCAGATCCGGCCGAAAGTGGCACTCTACGATATGATTCATAACTCCTTCGAGGTCACATAGGCCCACACCGGTCTCGATTGCAGACCATGGCCCAGGCCGAGCCCCCCTGGGGCCGAGAACATGGTCCATAATTGTCTGGGTCCATATATGGCTGCGTCACTTTCGGCTCGTCCATTATTGTCTGGGGTCAGTTTTGGCTCGTCCATTATTGTCTGGGTCCATATATGCCTGCGTCACTTTTGGCTCGTCCATACATGTCTGGGTCGCTTTTGGCTCGTCCGTATATGCCTGCGTCACTTTCGGCTCGTCCATATTGTCTGCGTCACTTTTGGCTCGTCCGTATATGCCTGCGTCCATATATGCCTGCGTCACATTTGGCTCGTCCATATTGTCTGCGTCACTTTTGGCTCGTCCGTATATGCCTGCGTCACATTTGGCTCGTCCATATTGTCTGCGTCACTTTTGGCTCGTCCGTATATGCCTGCATCCATATCTGCCTGCGTCACTTTCGGCTCGTCCATATTGTCTGCATCACTTTTGGCTCGTCCGTATATGCCTGCATCCATATCTGCCCGCGTCACTTTTGGCTCGTCCGTATATGCCTGCGTCACTTTCGGCTCGTCCATATATGCCCGCGTCACTTTTGGCTCGTCCGTATATGCCTGCATCCATATATGCCCGCGTCACTTTTGGCTCGTCCATATTGTCTGCGTCACTTTTGGCTCGTCCGTATATGCCTGCGTCACATTTGGCTCGTCCATATTGTCTGCATCACTTTTGGCTCGTCCATATATGCCTGCATCCATATCTGCCTGCGTCACTTTCGGCTCGTCCATATTGTCTGCATCACTTTTGGCTCGTCCGTATATGCCTGCGTCACATTTGGCTCGTCCATATTGTCTGCGTCACTTTTGGCTCGTCCGTATATGCCTGCATCCATATCTGCCTGCGTCACTTTCGGCTCGTCCATATTGTCTGCATCACTTTTGGCTCGTCCGTATATGCCTGCGTCACATTTGGCTCGTCCATATTGTCTGCGTCACTTTTGGCTCGTCCGTATATGCCTGCGTCCATATATGCCTGCGTCACATTTGGCTCGTCCATATTGTCTGCGTCACTTTTGGCTCGTCCGTATATGCCTGCGTCACATTTGGCTCGTCCATATTGTCTGCATCACTTTTGGCTCGTCCATATATGCCTGCATCCATATATGCCTGCGTCACTTTCGGCTCGTCCATATTGTCTGCATCACTTTTGGTTCGTCCGTTGTTACCTGCGTCCATGATGATGATGATGATGATATATTTAACGTCCAGAGTAAAAAGGGACGTGCCGGGCGATGCCGACATGGTCTATGCTAATCTATACTATTTTACAGGCTGCCGTCTTCACCTAACGTTCCTGTTCAATGAGTCGGGCAGATTTCAGAAAAGAAATTGGTTGCCTCCATCCATTCGCACAGAAGAGAGGCTCCCTGCGTAGAACCTAGCAGAAAATCTATGCTTGCTTTCGCCATATGTCGGCGAAGATGGGCTGGGGTGGCTTTCCGGCCACGCTTGCAGAAGTAGAAATGCACTGGGGTTTTGCGTCTACCACAACTGCAGTCGAGCAGTGCGTCCTTATGGGCAAACCTCTCGTGGTATGCTGCGAAGTCTCCGTGATGCGATCTTGATGCATACAGCCTTCCCAGCAGGTGTCGAGGAAGGCGAAGCTCGGGGGGCTTGGGATGGGGGACTATCCCAAGGTCGGCATACTGCCGAGGGCAGAGTGATGGCCATCTTCTGTCGAAAGTTTGGAAAGCGACCGCTTTAGACTGCCGTTTCAAGTGCGCCAATGTAGGCCGTGGATGTGATTCTGGGGTTTGTTTGCAGGCCTCCTTGGCCAGAGAGTCCGCTTCCTCGTTTCCTGGTATTCCCGCGTGTCCAGGGCACCACCATATGTATACCCTGCCGGGCATCGTCCAGCTTGTCCGTTCTCTCTGTTTCCAAGAGCAGGAGAGCCCACTAAAGGCCCTAAATCTAGTCTGGCTGCTTCCTGCGCTCCGAGCAACGAGCCTAGCCGCGACTGCGAGGTTGTCGAGGCAGATATGAACATTGTCTGCCATCCGCGCCGTGGGAGACCTTACGGCTTCCAGCAGGCCCTGAAGAGCGGCTTGCGCCTCTGCGTCAAAGACCTCCGTTTGGTGGCCGAGCGGTTCGGATCCCCGGAAGATCTGTCGTGTGGCCTGGTATCCTACCCAGCCAGCCCCGGCGGAGGTTCTGCTTCCGTCTGTCGTTTGGGAACCGTCGGTATAGACAACAATATCCCGCTTTGAGAACTTTCCCAGTCTGTCTGTAAATTCGAGGGCTAGTTCTTCCTTGGCCTTCCCAGGGTCGTACCCGACTCTCCGGAGGACTTTGTGCCAGTCCGCTAAGCACTCCCAAGGTGGTAGTTCCAGCGGGTCTATGTATTCAGCATTGCCATCTGCAAGCCATGCCATTCGTCGTAGCCTAGAGTCTGGTCCTGGCCTGTCTCCGAGCCTCTTCCGGAGGGGATGTCGTTCGTCAAGGCGATGGACCCTTACAGAGGCTTTGTAGAGCTTCGCGTCTAATATCACCTCTGCCGGCGGCAGGGCAGCTTCGCGCTGTAGGATCGGTACAGGCGTCGTTCTATACACTGGGAGTACAGATCTGATGGCCTTGGCTTGCATAGTGTCAAGTTGGTGAAGCAGACCGTTGACCCCGTTCGACACAGTGTGTCCATTCTTGACCCGGTTCCTGCCGGGCCACCATGCCTCCGATGCGTAATACTGAATAGGTGATACGCAAGAGGTAATAGCACGACAAAGGAGGTGCGCCGGCGCGCCCCAGACGGTGTTCCCTAGTCCTCGCAGTCCGTTGACTACCCGGCATGCTTTGGCGCAGAGGTCTCTCACATGGTTCTTGAATGAGAGCCTTCGGTCGAAGTGGACGCCAAGCCATCGCAGAGAGGAACCTTGGTCAACAGCATGAACTGTATGCTGCCGCCCGTCCAACATTGTGATAGATATTGGCGGGTTTCCATCTTTGCGTCTCTTGGTGAAATGGATGAGTTCCAACTTGTCGAGATCGAACGTGATACCCTCCGACGCGCCCCATCCCAGGGCTTCTTGCCATTCTTTAGCTAGTAGGGCACAGTTGTCTTCTAGAGAGGTTGAGGATGCCAGGATGGCGATGTCGTCGGCATAGCCAAACCGAGACCGCTTCCTTCCGGGACGCGCAGTGCCCAGCTTGAATAGAGGTTCGATGTAGAGCATGAAGAGGATGGGAGACACGGGTGAGCCCTGTGGTAACCCACACTCGAGGTCGAAGACGTCTCCCATCTCTCCGTCCAACCTAATTCTTGCTCTTCTCCCGATGACAAAGCTCGAAAC